TGTGGAAAACGAGATATTTCGGACCCTGCTTGATAAACCCAACTGTCATTAGGCCGTTTTCTTTCTCAACCACACCCAACCGGAAGTGCTTAAAAAATATCTCCAAGTCCACATTCTGTCTGGAAAACATCACAAAGCTTGCGCTGTACGTAGCTTGGACAATTCCGTCTCGTCTAGCAAAAAGTGAAAAGACACATAACCATGGTCCACGTACCTCCTATTGCCCGCCAACATCAAGTTAACACGGAGAAAGCAGATTTAAAGCTCGTGAAAAAACTGCCTTCGCGAGGCACACACAAATCAGGTCGCTTGATCAACCGGATATAAGGGACATGAGCTGCTGCGTTGCTAGGACCAAAACATTTGGAATGCCAAAATAAAGCACCGTCTCTAATCAGATAAAGCGGATTTCGATAGACTGCACGCAGGAATGATCGGAACACAAGAATTCCGGTGACAAGGAGCAATGGCAATTGCTTTGGTAACTTAAATCTGTTGACTTGCCTCGCACGACTTGATGTGGGTGACTAGATGGCGGAAAAATAACTTTCAGTCCAAAGTAACTCGTGCTTTGCAAAGTTAGTTTAGCGAATTCCAACCGAGCAATCTTACTCAAACCTTCAGGCGAATCTTTACACAGAGAGTGTTTCTGCCCCACAGTTTTGATCTCCCTTGATACTTCCTTAAGAACGATCGGCTTTTCTGCACTGTTTTTATGAGTTTCATTGTGATGCTAAGCGCACTGTCTTCGTATGCTGTGAGTACAGTTCACTGACAGGTGGAAAATCCCATGATGTGTGGCTTCTGATAGCTCGTTGCCTTATATCACAAAAGGGTGTTTCAAGTGAATTTAAGTTGAGTTTCCCGTCAACATAGAACCTTATGTACAAACTGGTGTATAAGTGAGTAATGAGGTTTAATGAAATTTTGGGATGAAGCCCGAAGAATGGTCCAGCCACTGGGGAGCTATTTAGAGTTTTCATCGGTCTCATGAAGTATACTGAAGCTCGCAGGTTGTTAGCATGCCATTGTAGCGGTGAACCTGACTGACAAGGCATGCGAGTAGTATGTGGTTTCTCGTAACTCCGTCTTGATCTGATGGAAGGTAGGGCTTATCACGGAATTAGTCAGTCTGCTTTGAGGCATTCGTCTACAATTGCGTGATAGTCAAGGAGCATCCTGGAAAGTTTAGGAGGACGCGTTCAAGAAGAAGACGGATTTTCCGTTTTTAAAAACAATATGCTTTAAAAGCAAGAGAGCTTTATTTCCTGTTCAATATTCTGTAACTGTTTAGTTGTTGTTTCCTAAAAAACAACGCAGCGAAGTTCATTTCTCCTTCCACTATGTCGAATGAATTTGTTGTATTTTCATCAAAAAACCACTCGCGAGTTTGTTGCAACCTCTTCGACACAGCAAAACTGCCCGTGGGATATCGAAGTGATTTCAGCAACCTTATTACATGAAACTTTTGCGATGCCTGAAATATCGTACCAACTGAAACATGAGACAGCCTCTGTACGACACATTCATTTGAGGAAGAATATCGCGGCTAATTTAGTCAGCTGGGATTTAGGGGTGTATCCCCAAAAAACCCAGTGGTATGCAAATGCGTGCAGTTGTTAAAATCTGGTGGAGTTTAGGCGATGATTTATTTTCAGCCGGTATAAAATGTGACATGCATGATCTGAGGCAAGCTCAACATACCTATTTCATATTTGATTTTTTATGAGGAAACCGCTCTGTTTTTATTATTCCAACCAAAATAACCCAGAATAAAGCTTCAAATGTTGTACAATATTTAAGCGGATGAGTTGAGTTACATTTATTCAAAGTGCTCAGAATACCGGTAGTTAGGCTCGCACGAAGTTGAGCTGGTTGACTATTAGTGTCTCCTTTTAAACTCCGGGTGAAAGAATCCTTATGAATGACCTAGGTTTATATTGTAAACCAGGCGTATTTTAGCGTTGTCTGAGAGTGACAAACGCTTCTCTTCTATCCATGGGCTGCAGGAAGGCTAGTCAGGAATTGGGAAACTGCCAAATAGCACTGATTTAAGAAAGGTGGAATAAACATGCAACTGCTCTTGAAACTTTCCCAAGGACCTTAGACTCTTCGTGCCACCCATGGCTTTGTCTGTGAGTCTGCTCCGGATTGGCAATCCCACACAGGTTTTGAAACAAAACATTACCACAGGTTGGCAGGTTGGCCGAGGGCGTGTGTCGTTTCCGCTGTTGTGTATCTTGATGCTAGTAAGACCGATCAATCACAAGCTTCAAGTACTCGTCCCAGACAGGAGTACCATGCGTTTTACCATTGTGCCACCCGAATGCACTTTTTATTCAATGTCGGAGTACCAGTACTCTAATGTTCAACATATTTTCGATGTCTTTTTGGCTAGGTGACTTGAAGCATGCCCGCTCTACTTCCCAGCATATCCATACTGTTCGCTTCACACTGGAATGCATTTTCCTGGAAATGGAGTCGGTCTTTTGCGAAAAGCTGGGAAGCACTGTACACTTGTTCGATCCTCAGTGGAAATCATCAGCGCTGCGCGTCCCACAAACTTACAAGAAGTTCCAGGCGCGCGACCTACAAGCTAGTAGTTTGGCCTCTTAAGCTTTCGGCCACAGCAGCTGCCACTTAGAAGAAGTTCCAGGCGCGCAACCTACAGGCTAGTAGTTTGACCTCTTAAGCTTTCGGCCACCAGCAGCTGCCCAGTAGTGTGGTTAGCTTGATTAAACAGAATATATCACCGCTCATCCTTCATTCATGGAAGACTTGTAACCTGGTCACTCGTTTACTGGTTTCTCAAGGAAAACGTTTCGGGCGCAGGGCCTATTCGTCGTGTGAATTATTCAGGCAATTCTCCAAAGGTAGAGATGGTCAGACACTGAAAGCGTTGAAAAGTCCTCAGCGCACGGCGACAAGGATTCTCATCCATATTACAGCGTGTAGCGCACCCCATCACTGTAGAATTGATCCTTGGCACATGACCCCATGTCACGTCTATGCCACAGGCAATGCAGAATTGCAAAAGCTTCTCTAGCCTTCCCAATCCGGATGAAAATTTCGTCTCTGGTTAGGCTGCCGGAAATGACAGAGCTACACAGGTAGACAAACTGGTCTTCTACTTCTTCAGACCGCAGGGGTTTTAGTCAGTCCAGTTCTACAACAGTAGTGTAACTATTGGGGCATGCCGTTGCAGGGCACAATTTACCTGAGTTTTCACGGATTCACCTATGCCTGTTTTCAGTTTAGCTTTGAAGAATCGAAGCAGAAGGCCTTTCGATACCAGAGTTTTCACACGAAGTTCGATTACACTTTACGAAAACAAGAATAATTGTCAGTGAAGCCTCTTCTGCAGACACTTTCAGCTAGCGCCAAGTTACAACATTAAGCTTTTTTAGATGGGGAAACGAGGGCTTTGCCGTCTTCTTTGATATAAATCATCTCGTCCCAGTGCCTTCTCATGCTCCAGTAGAGATAATTTATACCTTATTTTCTTTTAAACATTAATCAAGGTTTAAATCCCATTTGCTTGTAAACGCTGTTTCCAAGAGCTATGTTGCAGGAATCAAACTAAACGGAACTACAAGGTGTTCGGTTCATCTTCCCAATCTGCGTTTTTTCAAGCCATTTTTACTAATCGCTGCACTCTCCGTTGCAAAATTCTGTCGTGACTTTCCAATGTCCACCAAAGCTGATGATCTTCCCCATTTGGCATCTGAGGGATTTGCATGCGCCTGGTATGGATTTCCCGGCATCGATCAGGATAAGCAAACTCGACGATATCTAACTGTCATTGAACCGTATTGCAGAAGTCCGACAGACAGAGCCAAATGCAGCTAGGGTGACTCCATTCACATTTCACTATGCTTAATCTACGTGCTCGCAACCAGTACAGCGTTGGTTTATTGAAGAGAGCATTTGGTCTAGCTCAGAGTGATACCCTGGGTCTATGGTAATTCTTCAAATATGGTGCATTTGCACACCTCTTGCCGACTTGTGAGGGTCTATATAAAACCGAATTGTCGGGATGCTCGCAGTTCCGCGTGATAGAAATCAAGTTTTGTGCCTCAAAAAGAACGGCAGTCTTGGAGTGTAACGCTCCGGTAGTCGCTACTAGGCACGTGATTCATTTGGGGCAATGGGTGAATTGGAGTTAGTGGCCACCGAGTTAATCGATGCGAGCGTTCATGTTAAAAACCCGTGCTTACCAGAAACAGTTGATAATCAGCATATAGCTGCAAGAGCCGCTGTCTGTTGTCCTATCTCAGTCCAAGGAGCTCAGGTGAACGACTTGTGCGTTCCTGTTTCCAATATCAATGCTTCTTGATTAGGAGATAAGTTTGGAACTCGATAGAAAGTACGCTTCCTCGCATTGCAACCGCAAGCAGCAGAGGCCTGTTCTGGCATATGACGCAGACACTGGTTCTTACGTTGACCAACCTGGAGGTGGATAAGCGCAAGGTGCAGAACTGCCAGAGCTGAGGTTGCACCACTGATTAGGGGAACGATGCTGTGTTTTTCTAGCCATCTACAGATCTCCCCATCGAGCTGCGTACGAAAGACTTGGCCGAGTTCAGACGTGCGCTAGCCCCTGATGACATTTATCCTGCCTTTTCCAAGGAGAAAATTCCTTACGGAGAGAAGGACCTCAAAGTTACTGCTGTATTATCAACCGTCAGGGACAAACTGGAGGTGTGTACTGATAATAGTAATCAATCGTGGATTCATTTCTTTGAAGAAAGTTTTTCCAACAGTTGGCTAATTTCCGATGCTTTAATGCACTCGTTCGTTCTTTGGTTTCTTCTCAAACTTATGTGTGATGGATAAAGGGGGCGGCTGAACAGTAAGCTATGAACAAGCATTTGTCTCTCTTTCCCCGATTGGAAATACAACTGTTTAAAAATCTACCTAAACGTCAATGGTTTACCCAGTTCAGTAGCCTTCAGTTATGTAGGTTATCTAATCACTAATTCAATTTGCCCACATTTCAGGTCCTTCAATGAATGTCCGCGGTTTCTTCAAGAATGTCCTGAACAGTGAGCAGGCTCAGGATACATCCGCTATTCCACCGGATGATCCAAACAGCGGGACACTCGGTTCTGGCGTGAGTGGATTTTTGTCCGGCACTACACGATTTCTAGACACTGTCCAAAACAAAAAGAATGGTTTGCTCAACGATTTGACAACAAAATTCAGTGGGATAAAATTACCCGGTGATCAATCCGGTGGACGCACAAAAAGAAAGAAAACATCTCGAGTGCAAGAAAATGAGGGAGATGAAGAGAGTTCCGCTAGCGAATATGGCGATGAAGGTGACAAACCCATGTATGCAGAGCAAGCTCCGTTAGAAAGTCAAGAATCTGTGGACAGTGTGGATAGCCTACCTGAACAGGAAGCGGAACAATGCAAAGCGGAAATTCGAACAATCATTTCTACCATACTACAACAAAAGTAAGCCACTTTGATTTTAACGAGCGACTAAACTGGATCTGTTTTCAACTGAATGTGCTGCACACAGGCCGTTTCTTTTTTCATTGGCAACGATATTCCAGATACCGCAGTATATTTTCATGAAGGAAATTACTCACAAGGTTGCTAAAAACTCGTGGATAGCCCACTACGGATTTTTCTCCTGTTGAAACTCATCAGGTAGGTGCAGTCCCCGAGTTTCCGTCAACCTTTAGTTTTAGTTGAACCCAGATTGGACTGAATTCGAGTAGTACACTCATTTGCAAATCGATTTGATTTTTACGAGATACTCAACCGAATCTCTCGTTTACGATATTCTTCAGATGAACATAAGGTTGATGGAAACTCGGGGACTACACCTACCTGATGGGCCCCAACAAAGGCGAAAGCCGTCGTGGGCCGTCTAATATTTTTCAGCAACCTTGTGTGTAGTTCCCTTTATGAGAGCGTACTTATTCTCATAAAAGAAACTGCAGTTTGCACAACGACTTAAGTGTGTTTTTGATTGCTTGTTTGCTTCATCTAGCAGTAAGATGAGGTGTTGTCCTGATAGAATGTAAGAAGGCAGTTGTACAACCCATTTTGCCTATAATTACGCCGTGAAATGACAAGAATTCTCGGATTTTAGTCAACAATATCCTGCGGTCCGTTATGTGTTGCTCATTTTACTGCGCCTCTGAATTCCAAACTGTTAACTGCTGGAGTGGATAGCAATGGCGCACCACAGAGGATTTGCGTATGCGATAAAGAGTCGAAACTCGGCAAAATCAGAATCGTCCAGTCACAACAATTTTGCAAACAGTGGTGTATATGGGACAAGACTGTCTGCTGACGGCTGGGGTGAGTCGGTCGGGGTGTCACCAAATCGACACACAGCGCTTGACAGAAAAAAACCTTAAGGGTGATCCTGACAGACAATTTTCGGCGGTCTCTTCAATACTGATGTTTATTTATGACAATTGCCTCGCAAATATCTGAACTTCCTTCTTGAAACTTTTGTCCCTAAAAAATAAACAAAAAGTGGATTGGGGCCAAGAAACAAAAACATTTTCAGATTGACGACTGGCGACGACTTGGGGGTACGGACTGTACAATGTTGGACGCTAGGTACTCAGATATGCTGACTTGGTATTAAGCTTGAATTAAGCCATATTATACTTGACACAAGCACTGTAATGATAAGAACGAATAGGTTTAAATCATCAAAGCTTGCTCCATGCACATTTGTGCTGAGCGTTTTCTCTTCTGGCATTCATTTTTTGAAAATCATATCCTTATTCTCGTACTTGAGTAACTCCGGTTTTGAGGCTTTATCGCATCATGATATGTACTTTGCAAAATGAACTAATTAGTACTCTGTTATTGAATCGCATACCACAAAATTTCTTATCGACTCTGCAATGAAGTTGTCGTGAAAACCTATGTGTGGTGCACCTTCACATATGATCATTGGATTGAGCGTGTAAGTCTCGTGAATTGCGACAATGTTTTGAAGGCATGGCGCAAGACACCGCAGTTGTCCGTGGGAATAGAGTTTCACCGAATTCTTTCTTTCAGGCAACGTGAACCGTTTTGTGCATCTGGGACCGGAGGTCAATTGTAGGGTAAATTCTGAGGCATTCCGATTGGTTCTGTCCCACAAAGAGAACTCATCGCTTATCGTGGGGATTATCTGACCTAAGTGAGCTACTGACTTCTTTCGGACTGCACTGTTTCACGGGTCCCACGCTTCAACGAAGTGCTTATCCTACTATAGTAACTCCACTTTGACCACCGGTTACCTTTTTCCAGACGCGACTAAGTCAGCTTCCACGGTAGATTCCTTGTAACAAGGAGACCACATTGATTCTGCTCCGTTGTAAGTTGTCATGTTGGAACACTAGGACACCGTGAAAAAAGTTATCCAGTTATACCAACGTGATTAGAACTCTGAAACTCCTTTCGCTCTCCTGAATCACGGACATAAAAATAAGAGTATTATGAAATGAAAACAGGAGCAACTGCTTTTGTGCACTCAGCGATTCGTTTGTGGCGTTTGCATTACGCGACAAGATTCGAAATGAGTTTACAGGATTATTTTAATGGTCTGGCTACAAATATTGCATGACTGTTACTTGACCTCTGATTCAACATTTTCCTGACACAATCTGGATTACATACTTTGAAATATGTCCAGCGGAAGTAGGATATTTGACACTGCAGAGGAACTCGTAGGCTAGCTCAGGTTTTTTCAAGACAAATCCTTCAGGGATCGGTACACGATATGGCTGGGCAGCAGTACAAACAGACTTGGAAGCAGACATCAGCTTACGTCTTTTGTCAGTGCTTATGCACTTTCTTCCAATCGAGGGCATTGGTAGGTATCGCAATTGGCTGGATTAACTGGGCGTGCTTGTGTTCGAACTCTAAGATGAACCTTGCTGAAGTGCTCTGGGTAGCCGTCTGTCATCTTCAAAAAATACCTCTTCTTGTTCAAGCTGATCCGGGCAACACTGTCCTCGAACCATTGTTTCGTGCTTGCGGGTGAACTGATTGAGGTAGTAAACAAATCTGTTTACCCGGGAAGCCGTATCAGTCCCGGTGGTCTGGCGAAGGATGATATTTCCATCCGGACTGGAAAGGCCAGAGGAGCTTTCATGAACCTACTTCACCTGAGGCGTAGGCATGACACCAGCTTAGCCGCCAAGGGTCGAGCTTACAATGCTGCGATGCTATCCAACCTACTATACGGATAAGAAACCCGACCGTTGCCGGGTTTTCAGTACTTGACCATCCATGTCTTCGGAGCATTGCCCGAGTCTGGTGGGAACACCGGATCAGCAATGCTGAAGTACGTTGAATGGCATTCGGAAGAACTAACTCACCCACGATAGATGAACTAATCACACTGCACAGGTCACGCTGGCTATGCCACGTGCTCGATTTCCTTGAAGGGTTCTTTTCGCACAACCATGTATAAGTGATGGGGTACAGGGACACTGATTCCTCCAGTGACCAGGCTTGCCACACACGTAGCACCGGCTGGTTCAAGCGTGCCTCCATGATTCCTTCTTCACAGCTGCAGGCTGTTCTGCGAGTTGGTCCACTCTGGTCTGCAGTTCCTCCATTGGTGAACCATCCCTTTTCTTCTGCGACTGCAACGTGGCCAGTGGTTCCTCGGGCAGTTCCCGGGCCAGGCGCACCAGCTCTTCCACACCCAACTGGCCAGTCGCTCGCGCCAACTGCAATTGGGCACCAAGCGCCGGCTGCACACCTTCGACGAACTGGTCCGACAGCAACTGGTGGCGCGACACTCTGTCCAGCCCCGGCAAAGCGCGACTCAACGACTGCTGCAGGCCGGCGAAGAACACGATCGGGCAAGATCCAGGTACCATCCTGGCCGTCTTGAACCGTCTCATAGCCTCCTGGCGGTCAGCCGGCGTGCCGAACTCCGCAGCAAAGCCTTCTTCCTTTCATCTGGTGATCTAACAATAACTTGGTATGAAAGCCATTACTGACAAACTCAACTGCGCTAGCCGTTCCCGTCCTCCTGGATAGGGACCCCGAGACATATCACATCGATGGCTGGGGACACTGTCAGACATTGACTAGTCGCTCCCTCGGTGACGCTCATGTATCCACGCTCTTGTCTTTAATGCGTAGCTCCCTTCCCTATTTCCCCACTTGAAAGTCCACTGACAGTGTTTTATTTATACACGACTTTATCAGTTCCTGTACGGCAGTGAAGCATCAGTGCCAACAATGATGTTGCTGTCTTTGATAATGATGATGATCATTATCAGCTCCCGCCTTCAATGCGCATCCATCTACCTCACCTCCCTAAACGATCGGTGAACGAAAATATGGCAGCTACAACTACTGACCGTGATGTGATTTGACGCGCATCCATCTACCTCACCTCCCTAAACGATCGGTGAACGAAAATATGGCAGCTACAACTACTGACAGTGATGGTGATTTGACTGTGCAGAAATGCGAACATTTAACAACTTAGGAATTCTGTAAGTTTTATGAGATGGAGCCAACCTACACAACGCGCTTATGTGGCCAGTCTGGTGGAGATGTGGATCATCTTATGCACAAGCTTGGATGGTATGATGATTAATTCTCAGAACTCTCTGCCACCTGTATTCGGTTTCTTCGGCCCAGGGGTGATGTACCGACCAACCGACCGACCGTCTGATATTTGTCGCGGTAGGAAGGAAGCCAGCTGGAGAGTTGGCTGTGAAAAATCGAATTCCAGACAAATAGGAGCGAATGAAATCATCGGTTTGCCAAACAAATTTGCAACCACATCATCGAACCTAATTTGTTTTTTGATCCGAGAAAGTAGGAGACTCAGCTCACTCTGCCAAACACTTGTGCATTAAGATCGTCATTCCGAAAAAGTCAAGAAGCTGACACTTCACACAAAGAGCATTCGTGTATTGTGATCCGACAAACGCTTCAATTCACCTCCCGGTAGTTGCAGAACGCCACTAGAACTGCACTGTAACATAATGTGTAAAGCATAGTTGGCAGCACGCAAGTTATGAACATAAAGGGGAGGAATTTCAGTGGAGAGCAACCCAATCGAAAATGATCAAGCTAACACCACAAAGAGTGTTTGTCCGATTCCACATTTCCATTCAACAACCAGGAATCCTTCTCAGTTCATGGACTGACATTCAACTGGGAAACACGTATTTGAGACTGTGCAATTTATGAGTCAGTGGTTTCTGAACAGTATGGATCTTTGGCTGAAGGCAGCCTACCCATAAGGTTACTGAAAATCCTTCACGACCGCTTTCGCCTTTCTTGAAGCCCATCAGGAAGGCACAGTCCCTGAATTTCCGTCAGAATTACGTCCTACTTAAACCCAAATTGTACAGAACCTGTGAACTACATGCCGATCAGATGTTTACCACTGAATCATGTCAGTTTATTCTAGCAGACCGAACGTCGTCCTTGAAGAGAAAAGTCAGCAGTGCACGTCTCAAGAAATTCCAAACAATTTCGGACCCGTCAAACCTCGGCTGCTGTCAGCAATGCGATTCACTCGAAATTAAACAAGAGATAGCGCCATTGGTCCTTCAGACATGAAACTCACATCAAGTGTTCACGTGTTGTATGCTCCTTCCTCCACCCGTGAAGACAACATTATCGAATGACTGAGAGCTGAATGGCTCTAAAACCCCTCTTAGCAAGATTTACCCGGATTGTTGGTCAATCGCTCGTGGCTGAACTACTAGCCCGGGGTAAAAGGAGTAGAATCATCTCAGTTATTCGGGTCAGATGCACACTACTTACGGTTTCAAGTCGGGATGAGACGAACGTGCAGCAATTGTTGACTGCCGAGCATAGACTGGCTTTGTTGCAATTTCAATCTTTCCTTCATACACCACCCACTTTTTTCGTTGAACGTCTTCTTCAGATATACGTGTGAGTCCCCACATGTGACACGCACAAAAGACCGCTACTCTGTGTATATTCTTTATGCGTGTGGGCGGGTTTTATTGATCCCCTCGAAGCTTCATTCTATGATGAAAAGTTGTTTGCTTAATTGTGTGGCTCAGCTCCTGATCACCAAGTGGTAACGTATACGCTAATTTTGTCGGATTCCCATAAGTTTAGGAGGCTGTAGGTGAACATCCGAAAGAACAAGTTAGGCTGTCTACGATACCAGAAAGAAAACGAATAATTAGCTAAATAGTGCCCACTTCACGTGGTGTCCCACCAGAATATCAACAAGGATGTTAGTCGTGATCAAAGAGTGTACGCAGGATAAACTACCGCACACGTTCGAACCTGAAAGATGGACAACGAATCTAGAAAATAAAGCAGATTAAACATGAGCTAAACTATGGATGGGATTGTGTACTCGGTACCATCCACAAGATCCTCCACGTTTCAGTGAATTTAAGAACCCCCGGTTGATGACAAGTCCTGAAAAAAGAATGCTGAATCTGTTTTTAGTAACCACTCAACCACGGTATTTCAGGTTGGCTACCAGTTTATGGATCGTTTTTTATTTGGCTTTCTGTGATTTGTTTTATTATTTAAAACCTAAATTGTGTTCATTTAACATAAAGGGGTTTTCAGTAAGTTTGTAGGACTTTCTCAGTACATTCAAGTGGTATTCCACACCACTGCCACCCTTCGTCATCATCATCATCATCATCATCATCGTCATCATCATATCCACTGCTGCGGACCAGTCGGAATAACTGAAACAATCAGTACTTGACTTTTGGGCCTGGCGCAGGGGGAAAATACATGAGACTTGCTGTTCAAATTCTTGGGCGGAACACTCGCGGACATTCTTTGTGCAGAGGTTTACACTTTTTGCCTTCAAATCAAGATTCACATCTGTTTTCATCAAAATGGATTTTAGCTGTTTTGCGTATTTGGCTGAAAGCAAACTTGCTCACTCGAAGAATTGTTCATTACCAACTTCCGTTTTTGTCTCCACAGCGCAATATCTCCGGACTTGGAGGCTAACTTTCAGAATTACTCAATGGTGAGTTCAATGTGCCATTGCCATGGTAGTTTATTAGATACTCACACGGTTTTGACAAAAGTCTATGGGATGGGGCCTGACGCCTCGTGATTGCAGCTGCATTGCTCTAAATGGTGATGAATCGTACGCTTGATCTCTCCACCATCGTAATTGGTTGTGCATAAATTTTCAATGCAACAACGTCATCCGAGACAACAACGGCCCATCAAGACGTCCTATAAAAAGAAACTGGCAGCACAAAAGCCAGTGACATCGTTTAGCCACCATTTCTTGCAATACCCCTAGCTAGGAGCTGAGGGATCGTGAGATATTAGCAACACCTAAACTCGTCGTTCCATCTTTCACACCCATGTGCCATGTGTCTATCTCACAGTTTTCTTCATTACAAAGGTGAAAAGGAAACCATTGTTCGTCTTGACGCACAATGTTTCGGCATGCGTGGGTTATAGCCGCGTCAACGCAGATGACGGTGCTGAATGTGTTCCACGACTGAGGTACCTGCTACACCGTAAGGAATTCGCTTACGCCATCCGACACCAGTGTGGCTTTTGAAACATGTGTGAAATGTATACACAACTCATCGTTCCATTTGTTCAACCGATTCAATGCTCCATAGAATGGGGGGAATTTTTCGCACGTTTTTTAGAGCCCCTAGTTACAAGTGGTATATAAAAGTTCGAGACGAAATCTGACAATGGGTCCTCATGAAGCGTGCGATGAAAAAGTGTGGATTTTTTCTGAACCTGTTAATTTAATTCAGCTGATACTGGTGGCTAAAGGGATCTCTTCAATGAGGATGTTCTGCATTCTTCTCCCCTGAGTGGATGTCTGTAATTCGCCGAGAGGAAGCGCTTCAAAAGCCAGTTATGATGAGGTTAAAATATTCCTCGAGAGTGGCCGTACAATAATCTTAGACCAAAGAGTTTATTTCAGAAGCGAAATTTCCCGAGAGTGTGCAACTGGGTGCAAACCTAAATCATGGTAGTTTTATTCTGAAGTGGTTACGATGCACACAAAATGCTGTCAACTTATCAAATGTGATTTTCTGGGCTCCCGAATTCCTCGGAAGTAATGAATACCAATACGATTGACTGCTGTCAGTCCTGATTGAAACGCGTCTCATATTGGGACACCAAAACACATTTAATTACCCCCCGAATAAAACATTCCAAAGTCTTGTAAAAATTACAAATATATTTATCTACTTTGAAGGTTAACTCCCATTATGGAACGAAAATACCCAATACTCTATTTGGTAAAAACACAAATTCCACATAAATTCACTAATAAACGGGACCTGTTCAACCAGATCTGGTTCGCCTCGATTTGCTGCAACTCACAGCTTGTAGCTGAGTCCTGTACCTGGGCAAGCAATGCTGTGGGTGACACTGCAGTCGCTCACTGTCTGTCCAGTGACTGCACTCACACTTCTGAGAAGTCTGTGATTTTGAGTGTTGCTGTGGCGAAAGCCCAAGTTCTGTGAACAGCGGGTGTGGTGAAATTACTGTTGTGCCGTCAGCCGCTGTCAGAGCAACATCTTGACAGTTTGGAAACACCCTGTTTCTTTTCCAATTGCAAAACTGTGTATTTAGATAGTACAGAAGCGTTGAATTGTTAAACAACCACCAGAAACATGAACGCGCTCCGAAATCTGACCACGGATCCAGTGCACACGAAACTCGTTCAAAAGATTACCTTATATCTTGTGAAATTCGAAGAGTTGGCTTCTAGTTACGAACAGAATACTGGGTAAAAATGTCTGGATGGCATCTTCGATTTTCTCATTACGTTCACTTAGTTCTTGCATTTTATTTCGCGAACCACGGAAAGATAGGGAAGAAAGCTCCCGAAGTGCGACATTAAATTCTGCGTGAAGCTGTTCTCGATATTTTCCACAACGAATGCCCCAAGCTTATAGCTTGGGTGGAAAGATTCATTTGGAAAAATAGAGATATTGGCAGCGCGTGTGCACTGATTGATTGTAGATAAGGTGGTTGTTTAATTTGTCAACTTGTTAGCAAACCATTGCCGTCACCATTCATGAGGACATCACCGTCCACCACAAACGGTGCTCTAATGAGTTCCAAACGGTCAGTGGGGAAATGCATGCGAGCAAATTTGCCAGGCTTGCCGAACAAATCAAAGCCTCCTGATATAAAACTAACTCATTTCGGCAGTGTTAACGTGAGACTTAACTGAAATGCAACTGAAATACCTACAAGTAGGCTTCATCTGAGTCAGGCGTAGGTGCCAGGCTAATCTGAAAGCGAACTATTTTCATCATAACCTAAGTACCATTTTGCCCCCAAGTTAGAAACTTGCTTGATAAAAATTATCGATCATATTTCCCTGATAAGTTTAAAGATAATCGAAACCAGTGATCGATTTTGTGAGTAGTGTTAGACCAAGAAAAGTCGCTTGAAATTTTTTGTCCAAAGATATATAGTACTTGACGCGTGTCAAAATCCTAGCACGTCAGCAGTACGTCACCAGAAGTATGTCGTAGAAGGTTTTGTTGTTAACTTGACTTTCAGCGTAGTCATCCGATCAGCGGTGGATAGGAGTCTTTTCAATCATCTGACGTTGGCTTTGAAATTCAAGCTTAGTGTTTCATCTCAGTCGCAGTACATTGTGCACCATTTTTCGTCTACTTGGTAAGTACAAGTAGTCAAACGTGGGATCATCAAATATCGGTATAAAATTGTGAACGAGGGAACAGAATTCTTTTGTTTGCTGGCTTATTTGGGTTTATTCACAGAGTTGCGTGAAACGCCCTTCTTTGAATGAATAATTGAAGGACCACAATGTACCAGGAATTTGTATGAAACAGGTGTCAAAGTCCTCGGTAGAGAGCCGCTCGAGGATGTGAAGTTACTCCAAGATGCATCATTTAGTGTCGTGCAATTGACCTACTATCAGCTTATTTTTTGATAAGCCTTTTTTCACTGTGATCAGTTTTTGTTATAGTTGCGCATATATTCGCGTCCACTCATACACTCCCGTATGCTCACGTGCCCATGAAAACATCAGCAAGCTTAGCCTGTCTGGTAGATCGATTCTACTATCGTTTTAGCGTTAATCGATCATAGGTCGGATCAACCGAAAGGTTGTCACGTGCTGTCTGGGAGTCCGCCTATATTGTGGCATCTCCGTAAAAATATAACAATGATATTACGTGGCATTATACGAGACTAGAGAATAAAGTTATGCGGTGGTAATGGAATTCAGTCGCTCATTATCAGACTTGCGCATAACTTGTACGTGGATCTTAGGTCCCGCACACAGTTGGCGTGAAGATTAAAAGGCTTCAGGACAACACGTTGACGTGGAGGACGTTCCTGTATATGCATAACACTATTCTGGCCTTTAAGGATGCCAAATGACTCGAGTTAGTTATGAAGCGTTTATATACATAACAGGTCCAACCCTATGTACATCGTACAGGTAAGTTGAAAGCAAGGGGCTCTTCGACAAACCTGAGTTGGAGGTTTCATCTCCGTCAGGTCCATTTCCCTTATTGACTACAAGCCGTATGCCAATTACTACAAGATGTCTTGAGATCCTTGAGTTGCCCGATGTCTGAGTTACCGGATTTAGTGAATTAGAAAATAACACATTTTTGGCTATCACTGACCACTATATTACTGAGACGGAGTTCAAAACGATAAAAAGATGAAATGTAGTACTCGCATTGACCATGGTTTCTTCGTAGAACACAGGTACGCTTATTGACAACTGGAGAAGGGGGGCAGATCACGGATCGACGTACAGATTGGTGGCTCCAGGTGACCCATGGGGGGCAGGTTAGTCGGTTGTTACACTGAACACGGGGGGATCGACGGATGAGACTGACAACTAAACAGTAAAAAGTAACTGGCGCCATTTGACATTAGCTAAAGATGGTCTGTCAAAAGTCGCTTAAATTAACCCATACTATTTCTTCGTGTCTGCAGTGGGTTTTTTGTTTTACTTTGTGATATTGCTTTTGTAGTTAAGTTTTGGTACACTGCTTTACGACTTAGAGAGGTCAGAAATTGTGGACAACACAGATACGTCCGCTCCATTTTGGCTGATCACTAGCAAACTGTTATTAATTGAGGGACAGATTTTTGTGGTTTTCACACGATAGGGAGCAAATAGCTACGTGAATGCAGACCGATGGATAACGGATAAAATGGATGATTATAAACCTCATGCCAGTCCAGGATAATCCGCAAATTATATCGCTTTTCTTTTTGAGCTCTCAATGAGGTACTTTTCCAGTTGATCGTTGTGGCCCAATAAACCTCGGATTACCTGCATTCTAATGAAAGGGGAGGACAACAAACGCTCAGATGACCCGTGGTCGTCAAGTAATCATATACCGATGCCTGTAGTGGCCGATGCTTGAGCAAATGTACCGGATTTTGGAGTGTAATTTGATTTTAGACAGAGGGACCAAAGGGACAAAGGGAGTGGCACAATAACGGGGAACCGCGGTGCACGACTGAACCTCCATCTACTGGACCTCTCCTTGTACCTGACACCTGTCCACTTTGGGCGCGGGTAGAACTTGGTCTATCAACAGAGTAACGAATGAGCGTGGAAGAGCTTGCGATTTGGAAACATACATCATTCAACTAAGAGTCTAAGTGGGTGTCCGGTCAACCGTATTCACAAAGAGGTGGACTGCACTTTGTACGCATCCGTGCACTCCAATTAACCGGTTTACTAAAGATCGATTTGGATATATTCTAGCAAGACATTATGTCCCTTTGACTACAGAAACTTCGGGAAATTCTAGAATGGGACTATAATCTCTCCGAATCAACTGTTGTAACTGCACAAGTTCTTATCGCATTCATCGGTTTAAGGCCAAGATAAGGTAAGAAACCATCTTTGTAACTCAAGATGGCGAATATTCATTAATAATATCAGAGGTACCTAGAGGAAGTGCTAAAAATGGAGTCTCTGCTTCACTAGTTGATCTCAGCCCGTAAGCTCATCGAAACGTAACTCGCGTACTAGACAGTGTGGATGACTGCGTTTTACTTGACGTCGCTTATGTTGAGTGACATGTGCTCAGGCTGTAAGAATGAAGTCTTGTGGCTTGGTGCGACGACACGTGACTCTATTGACTGGGCTGATCGGCAGAAACGTAGGTCACATCGGCTCTACTAAACCTCGATCGATTTTAAAATAAAAGCAAGATGCCAGGTTCGTAGAAGCATATCCCACAAATTCTACATAACACATTTATGTGAATGCTAGTTGCCGGTATCTAAATTCACCTTTATTTCGGGAACAATAGTTTGGGATAGTTGGCTCCCTATTTTTAGGATTTCTGAGTACTACTTTAAGCTGACTGAAAGTGAACGGATTATTGGAAGTTGGCCCATAGACGATTGCAAGAAAAAAGGGCTACATAGAGTGAACCTGGTGAGCTGTTCTACGTGGCACTGAAAAATTGATCCAATTGACTAGACAGTTCTGGGGATGTTTGATACATTGGCCCACTAATGAAACTAGACAACTATCCACCTCGTTGCGGTTTTTTTTACGTAGACGTAAGACTCAACTTAATGGAGGTTTATATTCAAGAGCATTGTGGGACATCTCAGTCTCTTCCCAAATAAATTTCCAGGAATCTGGGTGTTTCTCTATTGCTTGTAACAGCCTCATCACCGGTGTTGTGACCGTTGGTGGACTTGGCAAGCATTTTAATAGTTTTAGACCCGAGTGTTTTTCACGAACTCAAGACTTTTCTTATTTTGATTGCAGCACCACACAGGACGATCTGCATTTGCCAAGGAACTCAAGCGCCAGGTAAGTTTATCAAGATCTGTTTCAAGGCAAAACGTCGATGTTTTATTTTGCACAGTACATGCTATGGAATTTGACAAACCATAGCACTCATCGCTGGTCTCTACGAAATGTCTGAATTTGTGTATGCAAGACCCAATTAATCAATCTGAGTCTGGGCACTTAGGTGTCTCACTAATTACCCATACATTTAACGAATGGTTGGAAACACTAAGTCACTTTCATACTCCAAGAACCATGATCCGCTTTTTGGCGGAATCAGTCGTATGAGACAGCGATGAGGATATAAACCCTAACTTGGACACATGGTCCGTAATTTGTAGTGAACTGAAGTAGCTGCGTAGCTTGTCAAGGAGGGTCGCTGTCTCGCAGTCAAAAAACAACCGGCTTCTGTTTGAAACACTGCTATGATCACTGCCCTGACTCATAAAATGCAAGGCATCTGAATCATGTATCACCGCAAAAGACATTACATTTAACAAAAGACAATCGCTGCCTAAAATGCTCGCCGTATGGTTTCCAAACAATGAAAGCAACCCGAAAACCTTGCTGTCGCTTACGTTTGGGTCAGCGCTGTTGGTTAAATCTGTCAGACTGTAAAGACGCTCCCATGCGTCCATTTTGTCTCCCTTATTATACGTATGAATACACGTATTCATCCATTGCTTGTACTTTTGACTAGCTGCGACACCTGACAGTTACTACAGATGCAGTAAATGAGATTGTAAAATTTTTGTGCAACTGTGGCACGCACTTTCTTGCAGACGAACCAGACGAAGGAACTTCCCGCATCGGTTTTGAATCAACTTGGCCAGTACGCTTCGCATGTTTTGGTTCACTGCAACGAAAATGATGATTTTGCTCCGGCCACACAGATTATGCAAAGAAGCTTTACTCTGTACCATGAGGGTAAGTTTCCGCTAGACTGCGATTGTAACATGCAATTCATGTTGAACAACACGGTAGCACAAGGATCAAACGGGATTTCTGTCTTCGGGTTGGCAAAGTGACAGAAATGTACAGATAGACGCATGAATCTGCTGTTGCTAAGCTAAATATGACTGTTGTGCTGCTGTTTGTACCCAAATTACAAGACAGCTTTACAAGACAGTCACATGAAACTCAGAGAATTTAAATAGTTGAGACTCTACGATCAATCGGAAATAGGTCCCGAGTGATTGGTTTTCGAACACTCTGTTCCACTGCAGAACGTGAAAACCCGTATTGGAGAGGCACATCACAGCGCACTTTCCATCCTTTATGTGGGTCAAAACAACGTGATTGATCTACAAACTTAAAGCATTCTCACAGACTTTCTGGGCGAGCAGAACAGTCTTGAAGCGAATCATCCGCATTTATCGAAGAAACCCTGGCCTGCGTGGCCATATGGTTACTGAAAAAACTTGGAAGGACGTGTGGGGCCCAACTAGAAGTGGCGATGCATAATTAGACCTTGGGATCATTCACAGTTTTGTGGTTGGGTCAACTGCTTACATATACAGTTTCCCGGTGCGTTCTTATCTTGCGGTCCAAGCCCACCACTGCTTCTCATACCAGCGTGGTGTTAATTACGCTGAATTGTAAAAAATAAATTGTATACTGTAAATTGTAAAAGTAAATAAATAAATTGTAAGTGGTTGGGTTCTGTATTTCTCCACGCTCCTCAGGTTGATGCATTCCCTCGGTTTTCATCAACCTTACCTTACGACTGAGTGTCAAGCTGTACCCAACTGACGCACTAAACTCATCTGCAAATTCGTTTGGTGTTCACGGGAGACTCAACTGAGACCGAAGAATACATTTGACAGGAGATTCAGCTTGTTCCTCAGCTAACACCGACCCAGTCTGAAGATGAAGCTAACATAGTTGTGTGACAGCAGTCAATCTTTCCAACCACAAGTGTATTCAGGGTGTGACTAACATAAACGAGCTATTCAGTTGTCTTTCAGCTGAGTCTCCGGCGAAAGCCAACCTAGTGTGGAAATAGATTAAGTTCGCCTATTCCGTACGACTTGGATTAAGGTAGAACATAAGGTACCTATCCAGTGAGTACCAAAGTGTGTAACACCGAATGTGATCTGCCGAAGAGTTTTCAGTAACCTCATGAATAGCGACATTGTCTTGCATACTGTACCAGCTGCAACGCAAGACGATCTTTGTGCAGCATTCATTTGAGGAAGGTTATACAAAGAGACTCAGTTAGTTTTCGGTCGAGTCTCACGTTGAAACAAAGTCTGTGTGCTAATGGCTGCAATTCACATGATTGTATAGATCAACGCACACTGAGAAGACCGTAAAATCTGAACTTCTGTATCCTCATCGTTGGGTGTAATCACTACTGTACACTCGTGGATCGATGAGGATATCTAAGCCTATGTATCTGCAACTGCTCCTTGGAATTTACATCAATGGATCACATACGGCTAATTAATGAGGTAGCACCGTAAGTTGTCAGTCGCAAAGTACTCCGCAAGTGATCTGGTAATGACCGGATCCCCGGGAGGTTTCAGTCTCGAATCCCCTTGCACATTTTTGGTATGAAGACATCCGATAAGTTAGAAGAGCTTCTCGATTTGTCAGCATAGAATGGTTTCATTTGTGGAACAGAATAAATGCGCTGACTTCAATACACCCTTCGTCAGCTTCAAATGAAGCTTATTAGAGACTAATTATTCCCGCCATCAGCTGTATCTTAACCTGGATAATATGTATATCTAACGGATTTCATAAAACCAGAAGTGGTTGCGCCAAATTTTCTCCCGAAGCGCGAGCGCCACGTATGGGAAGCTCTGTGTTTCTACAAGAGAATGGTCCTTCTACGCGAACTCTTTTGGCATCACTGCTGCGTTGTTTTTAACCGAAAACTTTAAAAGTAGACAACAAATAAGCAACTTACTTTGCATTGTTCGACTTTTTGTCAGATGCATTTGTTTATGAACTGCCCTAGCCCAAGTGCAGATGGCTTTTGTTGAAAGTCTTAAAACATGATAAGAACTGATCTGACCGATGTGTTCTTTCACTACTGACAAACCCCACTTTCAAGGCCTATGTATACGCGGAAACTAGTCTGCCTGGCTTGATTTTAATGCTGTTCTTTATTGATGAGATTCACCACCAGCAGATCTGTTTACTGGGCACCAAATTATTAATTTGGTGGAACCTTTCATCCAAGTACGCGCTACGCCGATTTCGACTTATCTTTTAATGTCACCGTCCGTGCATGGACGAAACCACCGACGTAGCGAAAATTGGCTTGGTGAATTTCACAGAAAGCTGGGGCACCACTCATTAACGTTACGAGCTGTCCAGACCATGAAAGAGTAAATGGTGTGTGGGTGGATACTTTTGCGTGCTACCTTCCATATACCGGTTAATTTGTTGTAAATCGAGTGAGCGCATTCTCGGAAGCCGGTTGGAGCCCCATTTACAGTGAGTACTAGAACCGCCCTAAACGAAGAGGTGTCGGTGCTGACCATCCTTCACACTTTCAGTCTGCTTATGCCGGTGCATCCATAAGCTGAGTAGCTCATTAAGTTTACTGGTTAGTGTCCACTGGTCGCTTGTCGCTCGTGGCTCATTGCTTACAAATAGACCCCTTATGTTCAAGCTTTGAGACGATTCGACTCTCAAAATTCTCCATGCCTGTGTGTATGAAACTGTGCCAAATGCCCCTGTCTAAGGACAAATTTTTCCATGATCCAAGTTCACAGTTATGTAGTTGTAGATGGCTTCGGTGTTGTAGATTTCCCGTTCACGCCAGTGTCGTTTAAACAATTTTTTTCCTATCCTGGCATATCCATTTTTGCATGTCCGCAGTAAAAGCTGAAAGCATGGGACTTGAGTTTCATCCCGATTAGAGCTCATCGGTAGTGCATACCAATCGATAAACCGGCCAGTCGACCAACAAAACCAGGATAGTTCCTGGGTTGCTGTTCTAGCTGTCAGGCCAAGCTATTACATCACTCACTTGGCTGCTCAGAAGTGAAAGCTCAAAAGTGCTTCGGTGGAGTTCAGATCCAGACACAGTCAAGGTTACGCACTGCTTATGACCTCCAACCATAGTAAAGGTTGAGTCCAGTGCTCTGACCCTTTGATGTGGACCAATAAGAACGACTGCTCCAGAACAGGAGGATGATTGTTCGAACGGCAGTTATGTAAACGTTAAATCTGCGAGTGCTGCAACTACCTACTACTAGTCCGAAAAATGTCCAGCGGGTTTCGGGTGACTCTACCTGACTGAGGAATCCAACCAATAACATCACTCAGAATGCAAAATTATTTTTCAAGAATCACATGGATTCTGTCTCTATATGCAATCTTCGGTTTTCCTTAGCTCCTCATTCGATTGTTCAGCTGGCCGTAAAGTTTTCCAGAAGTTCACTCCACATGTGAACGTGGCATATATATTCGTTCTGAATATTTTTTATGCTCACCAATCTCTTTTCAGTGAGAGCGCTCTCAATGGATGAACATGGCGAACAGCACTACTTGTTCACACTGCTCCGCGATCAACCAATTTGGCAGTCAATGCGATTCTGGAATGCTGCTTTTTTTATCGCCCTGCAGACAGAACGCAGAAATCAAACCATTCCTGCCGGGTGAGTTGAGTTGTGATCCGTGTAAAATACTTTTCAAAATCTCGCTTCATAGTTATCATTAAGACAGTCCGTTTTGAAAAAAACCACTGCCCAACTTCGCTTTCTTACTGTTCTAAGTGGAGCATTATGGGATGGTGAACTATTCAACTTTGCGTGAAAAGTTTACAGAAAGTCATTTTTGAACAGGATTATGTTCACGGTGGCAAACTGTGTGATAAGAGTCGAAACATTTGCGTTCTTCCGGGAGTTGTTTACTAGCTATCTGTAGGCAATTTCGGTGACCTGAGTGCCGTTTTCCTGTGGCGCGGTCTGTGCAAGAGGAACAAACGTAAGCCTTCAGCGAGTGTTTCGGGATTCGTCGCGGTTAGACACTAATCATTATTTATTGATCTGTTCTTCCGCGGAGCTGACGAAATGTCTCTGTTTACACATGACATAGATAGAAAGCAATGTGAACAAGGGAACCCCTAGTTCTGAGGAGTCTCCTTCGAGAAGAAGATCATCATGACTCTCAGATTATCTCATTTGTTCTGCTAATCTTTTAGGAGTCATCGTTTTACCGGTTCAACCAATGTCTGTCGGGCCACAGATGGCATTTTACGCTTGAGCACCAACAGCAAGTGTGTTAGATGACTCGCAGCCGACGCGGTCTAGTCCCGCATGAAACAGTTTAGCTGTAAATTTGAACATTGTGCAGACCTAATACACTACTCATAAGGTTGTTTAAAATCCCTCAGTAACCCCTGATCGGTTTCGCCCCTTCCTTCCGGACTCATAAGATAGACGCAGTCCTAGAGTTTACGTCAAAACTGTGTTCTATTTAAAGGCAAGTATCACAAAATTTGACTCATATGCTCATCTTCATACCAACTTGGTCTTGACGGAGGTTTCACCTGGAACGCAGCTGAATCACTGTTTTGTGATTTCTGCCTTACATGAGCGTATAATTTGAACTTCGCGCAATATGGGTTCAAGTAAAACATAAAGTTGGCCGACACTTAAGTACTGCTTCTGCTCGACAAGCCCCAAGAAGAACGAAACCGGTCGTGGGCTGCTGATGAGCTTTTAGTATCCTTATGAGTACTATACACAGTATATTGCGATGTTTCGAATATCGGACTAGGCGGAATAAGAGGTTGCCAGATGCAGAATATTCAGTCAAGTTAGAACATCATGAAAGGGAGAAACAGCTGGATTTCGGGTGGTTTTGCCGTCAAAACCAGTTTGGTATGCAGCTGAATGTATAAGGCGAACGCTGAACATTCGCTGTATCTCATACCTTATTCAATTAACAATTTAGGAGATGTTTCACAGTTGCATACACTAGAGACGCCATTGATTCGATTCTGTACTTTTCAGTCTCCGTGATGATGAGACACTTCTGGCCGAGAAAGAACAACAAGAAAACGCTGCTTTCATTCAGATCAGGTAGGTAGACAAGTGTCATGGTAAATCGGTCGGATTTGATTAGTGCTTACAAAGATCTTCTTTAGTTGCTCCATCAAATTCAACATTATTCACATGAAATGAAATAAGTTTTTGCGATGTATTCGAACCATGTTTGGTAATCTGTTCGTTTGAGGTTGACGGGCAGTATGATATATACGATAAGATATATATATATATATATATATATTTATATATTCAGCTTCTTCATACCTTTCGGGAATTATCAACAGTGTACAAACCCCAAGTCTCCAGGAAGTGTCGAAATAGCGACCAATTCAGTTAGCGCGTACTTAGACAGGGAATGGCGCCACCTGTCCTTCAATCACGCATTGCACATCAAACGATCAATTACTGATTATATCCTCTAGTGACGACTTCTTAGATGGAAGTTCCTCTTCTCTCGTGAAAATCTTCTTTCCGTGAGCTTCTAATGGTAGTGCTTCTAATGGTAGTGCGCGCAGATTTGCTAATTTCCAGTTGAAATGTCGCCCCGTTGATGAAGTTAACGTTTGCTGAAAGCCAAGAAGCATTGTGGCCACAGCTTCTCTGAGTGCGATTTAGTCCTATTACAGATCAGGTGTTTGCGGCCAAACGGTTGTATTCACACTGCTAGCCGCGAGGCCCCGGCATCCTGGAGTTTCGTGAAATGTGCACTGTTTATGATTCGTAGTAGGGATGAAACGGCTTCTCGGCTTTTTTTTGCATAGATTGGTTTCAATTGGGTGACGAACTATCAACGAATGACTAGTATCTGGTCGGTTAGCAAAATGACCCGCAGGAAATACACAGAAATTGTCGAGTATTTGTTGTGAAATGCAGCAATGTTGTGGGCGCGGAATTTAGTGTGTACTGGGTACATATTGTAGATATTAGTGATCAGAACGCAGCACTTCCTTTTCAGTAGTTGTCTGTCACTTCATAAGATGGTGTAAATGTCTTTCGCATCGTTTCTTTGTGGTGGTTATAACGCTGTTCCTTAGTGTTTGGTAGGCACGTCCAACGATGAAGATGGAGTAAGTCGGAGGAGTGTACCAAAATGTATAATTGGAGGAAGCCAAGAATAGAAAATACCATACCAATATTGCTTTACCTTCGTATCCTTGTGAGTAATTTCATGCCTGGGTGTACGGTCTAGCACGTTGAGGATGAACTTCAAGAGATTGAAATTCCCCATTTAGCAAAAGCATCGTTGAAATCCCAAAACGTTCACCCCATGAGTGAACCTAAATTCAGATGTCTCACGGAAGAGGAGCAGGTCGACTGGAATGTATCTCCCTTAAAGAACATCAGACACTGCACCAATTCAAGATGACAACACTTACACGTGCGACCATCGTGGCTGCCAGCTTGATAATGCTAAAACGGAAGTCAACATATGCACATATACAGCTGGATCGGGCCCTACGAGCAAACGTGCTTGCAAGACAAAGTTAGGTGTTACTGTGTAGTTATAAAAATGGAATAACAGGCTGATCGTGAAGTTTTAAGCGATATGTCATGTCCATCCTCTTCCCAGGTAAATTATTCCTATGGCATGCCTTTCCTGAACAGCCGATTTCTACCAGCGCCTCAAACAAAACTAATGTGATCCAATATGAGCATATAACTCATTCAGGACTGTTTAAATGATAAAATGAAGCAATGATGTACCTAATTTTACCCGTATTGCTACCGGGCGTCCACGTCACGGTACTCCACACTATGAAATGTGAAACTCATGTGGCCTCCGAGCTTGGCCTGTCCTGCCCTCGCCCCTCAGGTTTCATCGCTGAGGCTGGTTAACCTTTCTACAAAACACAAGACTCATTTGAATAAAAAAATTGTCAATGCCAAACCTGAATCGGGTTTGTACTATGGGATCATTTCTTACACGACCAGTGGACCGACGTCAGATCGTGTTTATTCGTCTTCATAGTGCGACTGGCTGATAACATATTTTATACCTACGGTCTCCTCATTCTACTTGGTCAGCCCATTCCGTGATGTGCTTTACCGCCTTGATTTGCAAGACACAGTCGTTCTAACGGACAAAGTATCCTGCGAATCTTGTGACCAAGTCGATGCAGCGGCTTTTGCCGCATTCACTGGATGTTGATTATAAATTTGGCAAACGACGGAGCTGCCTTTGTTCATCCAAAGAGCCCATTTCCACAGTTTTTTTACGAAGAAACAAGGAGGAGCTTGCAGCAATCGAAGAAGTTACCTTCAATGAACATCACATTCATTGGCGAGAACGTCTGTCTGGTGAGAACGATTTGGCAATGGTTAATAAACTAGTGGGAGAAATATCCCCTTCTCTGGATAGGGACGCAAAATATCGACAGTCCCCAAACCCCACTATTGATGAACAGTGACCAGGTTTTCTTGGGAACTTGAAGACCTGAAATCATCCGGCTAACGTGACTGAAACTTACGGAGTCCGAACTTTCGAGGACGAAGTTGATCCCCATTGGTACCTCCCTATGAGCATTCCTGATACTAACCGGTATTTTTACTTATAGTTGCCGCACCAATCGGTTTGCCTGTGGCGAAATACTGTACATTGCTAAGTTAATTGAGTAAGCGATGACCAATCTAAACTTCTGTAAAATAAACAAATGGTCCAGCCGTAGAATTCTTCTGGTACCTATCTGAAGGAAGAACGAAGAAAGAGGTACTGCAACCGGAGATACTGTCCACTCATAGGCAGGAAAAGTCAAGATGTCGAAGTCGGGTTCGAACCACGGACAATCCGGTCAGTACGTTTGTGCCCTAACCACTGAGCAAGCGCGAGCTCGACGTTTTGACTGAATACTGGTAATGCCTCAAATACTGATGAACCGAATCTTTTTATGACAGTTAAGTTTTACAGGTTACTATTATATTATAATTATTGTTAGTAGACGGCGTTACGAGCAGCTCAATGCGCATAAAATCCGCTCGCTGTTCGGGCACACTTGTTCATGATAATAAACAAACCCATCAGCCTATCGATGGACAACAATAATTCCACTAAGGTTTTCATGTGTTGCTTCCTGAATGTAAATGTGTATTTCGCCTTTGCCAGTCACGACTGGTCGCTCATCTTGATGTGGTCTCTTGAAACTACGATTCAGTTAGTTTCTTTCCCATTAAGGCCGTAGTTCATGCGTTGAGGAAATTGAGTATCTAAGACGGATTATACTCGTTTTCGCACAGTAATTCTGAGGAAAGTTATGTTTCTTCGAAAATTCGTTTCAGTGCCATATTTCCGTTAAAGAAGTCATAGGGACTGGAGAGTTAGGCAGGTGAGCTTGCGATGTTTCACACCACGCACGAGGCTGACAACAGCTCCGTAGAGCTCAATGCTGGTTCCACATTTCTTGGAGTTTATCGGACAGTTCTTCCGACCTACTTGAAAAACTAATTGTGATAGACAAAGTAATTTGTGAATTAAATTCATCGTAATGATAGATTGCGTTGGAGGCAAACTTCATGTTTAGAATTTCGTCTCGATGTTAGGTGGCATTCGAGGAAGGTATTTGGTTGAAGGTCGCCCTAAAAGATTGATTCAGTGGAACCTCAGCTGATTCTGCAGCAATAGGATGTCGACGTTATGCTGATAAGCGTTGACTCTTACTCAAGATCGTGTGATGTCACGCAACTCTGTATCAACTTAAGGTAACACAAGCTATTTTTATAGAGGGAACTATTCACAATATTGCTGAAAACTCCCCGACATCCCATTTCGCCATTCATCATATAGATGAAAACTTTGGGATTGCAGCTAACTGATAACCTCCAAGGAGGGCAAAACCTCTCCTGGGCCGTCGGAGAGTTTTCAGCAATCTTCCGAGTAGTCTCCTTTGTGTTAATATACTGCGATATCTCAAATATTGTACCATTTTATACATGAAGAGGCCTTTGTGCAGCAGATTCAAATGAAGAGTATGGTGAACGAGGGATGTAGTTGAGTTCCTAGTGAAAGTCACGTTGATATGAGAACGAGTGTACTTATGGATAACATTGGTTGGCGATACCCCCATGTCAGTTACACAATAATTGAAAGTTATTCATTGTTATCACAGTTAGATTACTCTCAAATGTGGAAGTTGCATCCACTGCGTCCAAGGTTACACTCTAAACGACGTACATTACGTCACTGAGGGCTCTGAGGATGACAGCCTCAGGGAGGATGATATGATGGGGTCCAAGAACAATGGACTGATCACGGTTGGAATGTTTAGCACCGGTTAAAATTCTGAAAACTACTGCCAGAAAGCTATGTTTTGCTATCGAGTTACTCACTAATAACCAAAGTGCCTTCATTCAAGCAGGCTAAGTTGAAGATTGGGTTGCAATGCAAACAGATTGTTATTAAATTCAACTCAATTCAATTTAGCTGATTAAATGGAGTCTTCCTCACAAGGAATCACGATGACCAGACCTCTCTAGCGATTTGTAAACTTTGAAACATTGCACTAGCTTTGCCACTTCCGAGTTTACACGTAATCCAGGAAGGGAATGGAGAAAAGCTAAAGACAAATACGTTACGATTCACGCAAGATGATCACTCATAAGGAATATTCTAGAATGTCTCATCTAGCGTTTGGGGTTTTTGAATGGTGATACTTTCGGCAACCGTCCTCTTGTAAAGGTCAATTTATCACTTGCACAAAGACAGTACAACCACCCGTTATGACTGCCCCCTCTAAAGACAATCGGAGGGAAACCCACAATTTTACGTGTGAATAAAAGCTGGTGCTTTAATCTATCAAAAATACTTCAACTTTTCGAAAAGCCAACATTGAATCTCCCACGAATCCACGTTCCTTCTTCACTTCTGTCGTCCTCAGCTCGCCACCAAATTTTGCCCATTAATTTCACTTTTAATGAAGATAACTTCGTTTGCTCTGTCTTTGGTCGTAAGGAATAGTAGACGGGACATACATTTGTCTCCGTGACGGTTCTCGGGGAGAGCGGTATTTGGCTGATCTCTTTAAATTTTTCTACTCCAAATTTTGAGACAACAGGAAGATCAGTCCTTCGCTGGGACCGCGGACTAGATTTGGAAGGAAACTGTTGTCAAGGATCTTCCCAGAAGTAAAAAAATATGGTCCGTTGTGCGCCTCCCGGTTGAATGAACTTAGTTGCTGGTTCTCAGGAATATGCACAGAAAGTAGAAAAACCAAATAATGTATGGTTCAGTTTTTCACTGTGCATTCATCTGTGCTCGATGATGAGAAACCACAGATAGGGCCAGCTACCAACTGCAATCACATCTCGGATTGCTGGCTATCCTGTTCCAGTTGACAGTGGCCGGCTTAAAAACTATTTACTTGTTTTTTTAAGGTTAGCTGATTTATTTCTGACCTGGATGTGAGTAATCCTGAGTAATCCCGCCAAACATTACTGAGGCACCGAAGCTTTTTCGGACGGAGTCGTATGATCGGTGAATCTCTCTAATCACCCAAATCTCTTAAATCAGGAGGTTACCATATTACTGAATGACACCATGATGATGATACGCCTGAACCGCATGTGTAATTTGGGAGTCTTAAGAACACGGTAAATGTAGCCCTGGGATTCAGAATTCTCTATCTCATCTCTACATAAACCATTCCCGAAGTTTTGTCCACTCCGTACAGGTTTAAGTGTAAAATTCTCGAATAGTTCAATTAGAACTAAGTTACTGTAAGGCTTTGGCCAATGTGAGTTCTCCGGTCAGAGCGTAAGCATTAGACAATCGTCTAAACCTTATTGTTTTATGAACCGCTTAGCAAATTCGTATGGAGAATGCACGCGTTTGGCATTCCGAGGGAATCATGCGTGGAATTCTTGCGCAAGCAAGCAAACGGAGAAAATTTGTCAAAAGGTGAGTCTGTGCAGATAAACGTCAGTTATTACACATACAATGGTTCTGAGATTCGGGAATCGAAGCCCCATTTTTTTCTGCAATCATTGTTATCCTAAACGTTGCAGGGATGACACATTTTCGATAGTTTTCTTCTCAAAATGCTCAGGAACTTTGACGAGTTCACTCGATACATGCCCCACAAGCAAAGAAACCTGTATGTCCAGTCATGGCGTGATCAGAGTAACAGCTGTTGTAAGACTGCCATTACGATCCATCCGTTCTGCACATGCTTTCAGTTTTCTAAGATTACTGATACTGTTATGCCTCTTTGAAGATTCGTACTTTCATAGGTCCGCGCTGACGAAAATGGTTGTTTTTACAACAAAAGATGAGGCCAGAATCGAAGTCTCAAAAGTTTTTTTTTTCATTTTTGACGTTCGAAATAAAGTTTACCGGAGCTGAATAGCTTTTTAAGTTTAAGTATACGAGCTGGCTCAATGTTGGATTGAGAAACTCTGTTGCTCATACCCGGAGACCTCAAACGTCTCCAGACGTTTGTTGACCGGTATCTCTGTTACAAAACAAGAATTAAGAATTAGGATGTACTCCACGAAGTATCGCTTAAGTGAGTGACTGATAAAGGATCAGGACCCCAAAGAAAGCGTTACTGTTCCTTCTAAAGCTGTCCTGCAGAGAGGTCTGTTGTGCTATGATGCTGTAACGTGAAAATGTACCTCATCGTCCTCATTGATGGGACCCACGCGATCCCTGTTTAACGCGACTGAAAGGCATGAAACCGATCCTCGTTGCAACCAGGTTGGTTTATCCCAGAACAACCATCAAGCCAGGTTTCTTTCATCACTGCGTACCAAACCATTGTTAACTGAGGTTTGTTCAAGACAGTACAAGGTAGTTCGTTTGACACCGCCCTACTCCGAAGTGACATCCACGTGTTTGGTTGAATACTGTTCAAAAGCAGTAACACCTGAAAACGTACCAATCATTAGTCTGCTGGATATTATGCAACAGTTCAGTGAGAGAGTCACTTGAGTCGCCAGTGACACTTCCAAAAAGTACATTTCGCCAGCCTCGTGAATACGTCACCGTTGATCATTTTCTCCAAAGTGGTTTGGTGCTTAGCACCAAGTTTCTACCTACCCATCTAAATTTCACCTGGCATTGCAGCATTCTTTCCCCGTGATTCTTTGTCACTTAAGCGACAATATCTATTTCCTTTTTATTGTTATAAAAAAATGATAAATTTCCCTCAACCTAATGTGTGCTAGAGAGCAGATTTGGGATTACCAATGACCTTGGTTTATGAATAAAGTAAGTCAGCACTTTTAGGTTGACTGTAAAGTCTCCCCCGAGTTCTTTGGATAGACAGATGTGATAATGAAAGTATTGAGTAGGTTTCATTGGTATAGCTGGGTAGCGTATCTGTCTTTCACTGGTTTCTTCCGTTAAAGAGCTTCTTTGTGCAACGAAGACAGAAGACAGACAGACAGAGTGGTGTGGCTATGAACAAACATACCTATCCCGCAAAAAAAAACCCAAAAATCCAAAAGTAATACTGAATTTCTTCATGACGATGTTTCAAATTTCCACGGCAGTTTGCTTCAATACGAAGTGATAGATTTGCCAGTCCGGTTTTTGACAATATGACCATTTTTTATGTTACAGATAGATGCCGGATACTGCACACAAACCTGCAAAAACTTTACGAGACTGAAGCAAGACCGAATTAACGGGCATATCTAGAAGTCATTTAACCACAATCACAAGATCACGAGATCACCAAGGTTCAATCAATGATCAATATCTATCATACTTGCATGATATACTTGATTCCATGAGTCTTTTTGGGTATAATGCAACAATCGACTCTTATACTCTTTGAAGCGGATCTTTTTTGTCTTGGTCTTTGTTCTGAGTTGACCTTGTCATTTAATTTTATATCACTTTGGCATTGGCTATCATCATGTTCATTCTTCTTGGTGTCACCTCTCAAATCTATTTAGCCAGGTTTTCTTCAGTCCTGTCACACATTCTTAGATGTGAGTCCGCGTGTTGTTATAAACATCATTACACTAATAAAACACCGTCGTTATCCCAGTGATAGTATGAAGGCAGCCGTTTATTTATTACTGTTGCCAATGGTGAGAACTGCTGCGGGGCATATGTGTTTACATTTCGGGTGTGATTCCATCGTGTGTGCTCACAAACACTTCATTGTTGTCTATAGAAAAAGACGACTTAAAAGATGAGAAAAATGAGTTTGACAAACAAAAATCATTTTCCGCAACTGGTGTGCTTGGCCTAAAACTATATATGATACCAAACAGAAATTGCGTGAAACGTTTGTGTGAAATTCACAGTCTTGAGAAGGATGCGGTAAGTGTCGGATAATCTTATGGAACTGAGTTTTTCCTGGACCAATTCACGATCAGAAGATGCGTAAGTTTCTTTGGGACGCAGAATCGCGTTTCGTAAGGCAGGATTCCAATCGCCCCTGGGAACAATATAATAATATAATATAATAATAATATAATTCTAGCGGCTACCCAGCGTATATTTTCGGACACGTGCGCTTTGTGTAGGGCTTGAGAGGTTTCGGCCAGATGTGGTGCAATCGAACTTGAGCCGATACTCTTCCAGCCACCACCCAAAAATACGGGATTGTGTTCAACTATTCTTCCAGAAAGACACATTTTTGGGTGTCTAAGTTATCTTGCTTGACAGGAAGGCCTTTAACCCAGACATAGACCAAGTCATTATTCTATTGTGTTTCGGTCAGTTGCAAAGTGACGGCGGTTAAGTTAGATGCGCGTTTTCCATGAGTCAGCAAGGAAGAGCAGATTTTGCTTGTTCTCTCAAACAAACGCCTCGGTTCACAACTCAAACATGCGAAAAAGCAAACAGAAGTTGGAGATAGAGCATTCCGCCCAGCCGAAAGGAACTTAAAATTAGGGCTGAAACTCTAACTCAAGTAAAGATTAGCTGCTATATATGTCACTCAAAAGGGTCAGTAATTCATCAACCGAGTTGCCTATCGATGGTACAGCCTTGACTACAAATCATGCAGAAGCTGTTCCACAGAAATACATATTCTAAAGGTGAGTGTCCTTTGTGACTAATCGAAGGAACGCTTCTTCATTATCCTTTGTCTTGACAACGTGGTCGGATTTATCGACCCAGACGACTGATGTGTTCTGACATAGCTCAGATGTGAAACCTCGTCATTCTTCTGCAAATGTTCCACTATCTTGAAACATTCATTTGGTCGCTGATGATTATTCAGCGACTTTGTACGCCATAGGGATATGCAGTCTCTGTGCATACACCATTAACGGACTACCCTCACTTGTATTCTCATTGCAGAAACAGACAAATTCGACGGAGGATTCGCTCACTTACAAACCATCATTAAGCATATCAGAAATTACACTAAATCACATAGTGACCGAACTTTTTAAACGAGGACTGGTCACCTGGGAAACCAGTCAACGCGAGGCTAGGTGATGTGATTCCCGTGACTGAAAAATGAGTGGTTCTGCATCTTATCTAGATGATTAGCTGATTAGCAGCTCGTGGCCAAGTTGGCTTCAACTACTAGGAAGAAGGTTGCGAGTTCGAATTACCCGGGAAATTTGTGGGATGGGAACTGCTGATCATTCCCAATGAGGATGAAACTGCTTTCGGCTTGTGGACGTGGGACATGGGACTTTATATATGCAATCATATCTACAAGGAATATTTTTAAGTATCCTCACGCTACTACTGGTAAGTTGCTCTGTAAAAAGAAACTTGCAATCAATATGTTTAAGTAATCTTCCAAAATTGGACTACCGTGTCACGTGACTAGAACCTGCATTTTTGAGAGTTAAAAATGTCATCCACGCGTCATTGGTAAGACATATGCATAGGTGTTCAAATTCTGTTTGATGGGTTCGGAAACCTTCTGACTGCACCCGGAACAGAATCGTGGGGACTCGAAGGAGCCTAATTTAGCTGTAACCTTCCGTCGAGTATTTCAAAGTGGACTTTCGAAAGAACATATATCATGAAGGGTAAAGTAGGACGGGGTTTACTTGCCCCCAGATTTCGAAGTAGCTGAAAACAAATATATGAATGCGACATGATAAACAGCCTCGAATCTGCAAAAATATCATCGTCAAAGACAGTGTAGAGCAGGTCGGGGAGAAACTGGTTAGATCCACATAGTACAATTACTAAGTCTCCTCAAAATGTGCAACAATACATCATCCCAGATGCTGGCTCCATTTTCCATGCCATTATCCCAGGAGACCGATTTTCTTCACCCACATCGCAGAGATATCTGGGGACAAAGGTAGTCAATAAAGGATATAAAAATGGGTTTCTAATGTAGGAAGTTACGTAAAATTACTCCAAGTGTAACAATAAACCATATTGAATGGAAGCCGCTCATATGTTTGCTGGAAACTCTTTGACAGCTCACGATTGGTTTCTTCCTGTTTGGGGATCATCAGGCTGACACAGTCATTCAGTCTCCGTCAACCTAATGTTCTACTTCGGTCTTCCAAATTATTGTGTAAATCAGTGTCACCTGCTAGTCAAGTTATTGTGACGAACCCACCACACACAAAACCGGTACAGTTTTATCTTCCAAGGAAATGAGGCTAGGTATGAAAATTTGCTCCTGTTCAGTGTTTTCGTTCACACAAAGAGCCAACACAGTAATCATAAGTTCCCACCACCACACTAGCTAATACACCCGTGTAACACAAGCTACAGTTCTTTTTTTCACTGGACTGTGGGGGAATACTAATGATCCATTTGTGAGCGATACGGCTGCGTCTGTTCAACCGTCTGGCATGCAAGACTGTAAAACATTATTCAAAACCGGACCACATTTTTCGGTTTTGTTGGATGGCAGACCAATCCATGTTGGCCTACACTCGCAGGTCCTTGCCTGCAGTTTTCAGACCACTGCGACAAATCTAGAAGCAACAGAGCGGAAGTAAGTTATGCCTCAGTAAGCTTCAGATCCAACACAGTGAACAATATCAAAGAAATGCTGGAATAAAACAAGCATCCCAGCCTATTTATTGAAAAATTAGTTTGGGGTTGATTCAAGCACCAGAGGTGAACATTTCAGACATAATGCGACGAAAGAGCTTCCGAATGAATTGGATTAATGGAGCTTATTCTTGGACAATTATTGTGGTGGAGCAACACTCCCTTGCTGAAGTTTTACCTTGAAGAGTGCGTTATGATGAAATCGCAAGCTCCAAATGCACTCAGAACTCACACGCAGAAGCGCCACGAAAATGATAGGCGCATCAGGAAAGCACAACAGTTCCTAAGCATCGCAAGAATGTTTTACAAAGCTCTGACTTGACAATCAGGAGGGGACTGTGCCTGGTCAACTGCCAGCAGCACTCGGCTCATGCCCACAAAACTATTCAGGTAAGTTTTGCGACTTTTGACGTTCTTGACCAAGAGTTGCTCCAGTAGTTCATAAAAATTTGAACAAAACGTGAACGGAGCACAATTTGAAACCGAGTGAACGAGACTGATTAGACAGTAAACAGACAAAAGGTTGTGGATGATATATCTTGAGACGGTACATTGCAAGACTCTGCATTGACGTTTGCTCACACTTCCGTCCCTCTAGTGCCCGTGACACTTTTATTCAGATTTGCGTGCAACAGAGGATCACTGTAGGCAGTGAAATTATAAGGAAGTTTACGTGTTTACCTAATGCGAAACCGTAGAAGAAACTGTTACGCTACCACGCAATCTCGGCTGAGAACCATTAAAAGGTTGGAAAAAGCCGAACTAAGGGCTCTTGAGAAGTGAGAAGTGATCACATGAAACTAGCAGCACTGTTATACGAGTCTTCAAAAACGCACTAACAGCACTGTCAGGAATGTAATTCCGCAGTCTCGTACAAAATGAAGGGATCCCAATCAGTCTGGATTTTGTTAATTTGTCTTAATACTGATACTACTAAGATTCCAACGAAACTAATGTAATTAGTTTCAAACTAAATGCTTGTTTCAGCGAGCACACCCGCATTTGAAATTACTGCTAGTGTATTTGGGATGAAGCACGACTGCGTAGATCCTAATAGACAGGAGGCAGCTCCGGTGGGCTAGCCATAGAAACTGGGTTTGTTTGCTGATTAGTGTTGGAAAACCAGTTGGTGCCGGTTTTTCTTATTTATGACTGGAGTTTGGCTGGCGTCAAACCTCAGACAGCCGAGAGCCCTGGTTCGTTTATCCCTGCCAAATAGACAATAATTTCCATGGTAGACAATGAAGGACGAGGCTGAACACGTACTGTTTCACCCTCTGCAAACAAACAACGTTGCTCATCTACGGAGAGCCTTTATATTGCACTGCAAAGAAGCAACTTAGAAAGATTAGGTCTGCTTGCTGATGGGGTATTGCGCTAGGACCTGCGTAGTGACTCTACTACGTCACACTACAAATCATTTTCTCTCCAAACCAACTCTGCACCCAAAGGTTCAACGCTGAATTCAACGCGGTTTCACACGGCGTTCGTTTCCGGATCGGCTTGCCATGTCGACTCATGTCAACCTGTAAACCTCATAAACCATTAGTGGTTTGAGCTAAATCGAGGTGTAATCACATATCACGGGGAAAAAGAATCGAGTGATGAACGGGAGCGGGCAGATCTAAAGCTATCAACATGGTCAACTGGTGGCATATAATAATCAAATCAAGTAGATGTAAGCTGGCGAGAATATGAAGTAGAATTTTCAACTGAATATAATGAAATACGCACATGTTCATTAAACTATACTGCAAGCAGAAGGACAACACGACAAACAATCCATGGGATTAGATGCGCAGAATGAAGGCTCCTAGGAATGACACTCACGGAATCCAAACAAAGTTCGTGCTGTTATTGGCAAACCAAAGGAAGAAGTTATAACCGTCAGCATGCCAACCAAGTGGCCGGTGATTTAAAAGTCAAGTGTGGACAAAAATCACTTAGACCAGTGGCTGTTTTAGCCATTTAAGGCATAGATGTATGTTTCTTGTTTGCCAAGCTAGGCAACTGAATTACAAAGACCATTTCACCAATCGAGCGGACATGCTCAG